TCACTGTGCTGAGGAAGACACTGCGTTCTGTGCCGCAGAAGAGAGCCACCAATGGCTGTGCTAATGGAGGTATTGGTTTCTCTCAGACCCTCTGTTGCCTGGATATTATGTCCACTTATTAACCAAACTATTGTGCACACTGTACAAACAGCCAGAAACAGACAATAGCTTCATCTTAAGTCTTGAACTCATTACGCTCATGATGTCACGCTTCAGGTCATTTCAAGAGAAAATCATTAATTTAGGGAATTTTTGGGGCCATTTTGTTCTAGGTTTTATAGAAATGTTAGATGGTTCTTAACTAGGCTGTTGATCGGTGACTGACACATTTGTTTGCAGCAAACAATGATGTGAAATGCTGGACCAGGGATCATTTGTGGCTAGAACGATCTAATAATCTGGCCCTCAAAACAAATGTAGTTGAGGAGCCCTGATGTAAAAAGCCCCTTTCTGGTATCCTTGCAGGCATCATTCAAAAGATACCTGGTTTACCGACATTTCGTCGTCTTGAAATTGAAGTTGCAATAACGGATATAACTGTCCGTAAACCAGGTTAGTAAGTGGTTTTTATCACAGTGGTCTTATATTAATAATAATGTTCAAGTCACCCTGAAGGTGAAGTGCATCTTCTATGCCACTGAGCCCATTTTATTATTATTTTATGGCACCATATGAACACCAGTATTCACACTGGTAGCCTTAGTAAAAATGACCATCACTTTTCATCTGTACTTGGTAAGCAAAATATATACAGCACTTTCCATGAAAAGGATACAAAGTGGGCCTGAAAATGAGCTGTGTGCATAATTCCAAGTACATTTAAACCACAAATTGACAGACATTGCATGTTTAAAACTACTTGATTTCCATGGCATGTTGATTTGTATGGTAAATAGTAGTTAATTTTATATTAACTTTAGTTACTAAAAGTTTTTTTTTTTTTTTTACTTTCCCCAGTTAAAAAAAATACTGGAACTCTCTTGCTTTAGCTGCAGATCTGTTTCTGGTTGAGGACCCTGTGTGACAGTCACTAGACTTCTTTAGGATTTGCATTTGAGCACCTGTCTCTACCTTTCTGTCTTTGTAAATTCAGTCCCTTATTGAAAATCTGTCTCAGGAGTGGCAAATGTAACTAATCTTCAGCTATCCTATTACACCTGAACAAGCTGATAAGCCCCACCATAACTGATAAGCCCTGCTCACCCTCTATCACTAACCAGCTGCTTTAGTCTCTTCCGTGGTGTTTGACCTCCATTCTTTCCTACAGCCACTATAACTTAACTTTTTTTCCCCCTTCCAGATGTTTCTTCGAAGCACGATTACACTGTGCATAAACAAATGTGCCTGTCCACCATGAGCACTGCCTTGGTTACATGCAAATCTTTTTTGTTGGAGTCTGTCTGTGCAGAGCTCGGATTGGAGGGATGGAGAAGACTGATACAGCATTGCGAAGGACTCTTGGTTTTATCTTATGTTTTTTGTTTGTTCTGTTTTTCGTCATAGGCAATGAGAAATACTACAGCAGTATGAGTGTTAAAGAGGTAGTGCTGCAAAAGGAACGACTGAAGATTAGTGGCATACTGTGTAAGTACACATACTTGACTTTCAGATATTTTTCCACTTCAAATCATTAGGTCTTTATGTTTAAAGTTATGTACTATAAGGAAAAAGGAACCGGTTTGGAACAACGTGCGGTAGAGTGACTTTTTTTTTTTTGGTCTGTTATCCTTTTAATTGTGCCAATTAATCATGCTGCCTTTTAAATACCTGTCTTTGGTCCGACTGTACGGCAGTATTGCATATTTTCATTCATATGCATTCTGTGGTGGTTTTTTTTAAAATTCAAAATTACATAAAATTATCATTTTAGTCAATACATCAAATCACCTGTGCATAACCAGTGCTTTTTTATGACACTGTAATTGGCCACTTATGTGGTTCCAATTAAGTAGGATTGGTGATTGATTTATTGCCTAGTGTAAGGGATCTGATTTGCACTGCAGTGTATATGTGTAGATTTAAATACAAATTAAACAGCCATCTGCCACACCATTGTTTGCTCCTCTGTGTTGTTGTCAATCAGTTTTTCAGCAGCCTAGTTTGAGTCCTACCTTAGAAGGAGGCTGCAGTACAGTCACTACCTCATGAATAATACCAGAATGATTCATAAATGATTGGTCTAGTAGATGTACAGTACAGATTCAATGTGTGCATACTTCTGCATACAGCATCGGTTTAAAAATGTCTACATTGGTGGCTGTCATGGCAAGATTAAAAGCACATGCTGTAGAAGTAGAACTTTAACTTTAACACACCGGTTATTGTTTCGACCGTACACTGATTCTAACAGGTGATGACTGCAAAAGGAAGCATAATTTTGCAACGGACACTCAGTCTTCCCAGGAAGAGAAGCCTGTAGGAACCTTATGGGGGCTCATAGTTTCTACAGGTTATATACTCATCACTTACCCTCAGTCTTGGTCATTCTAAGAGCTTCTGGTTTGGAAATAGTTGGCAAGCCAGTTACTGCTGCTGTGAGCTCCTTCCCTGCATTGATGGTTCTCGGGTTGTGGTCAGGGCAGTTTGTTCCCTGGCAGGTGTGGGCTTCGGTGAAGAGCTTTCAGATGACCTTGCATGGCCTGCAATTTCTTCCTTTTCTCTTCCTTAAACTTTCTGTGACTCCGATTCCATGTGGGAGTCTCTTTCCTCTTCACTTGTTATTATAACCCTTTTATTTTTGTATGCATGTATGTAATTTCTTTTTTTTCTCCTCCAGTTTTGCTCCCAGGAACTTTTTTTTTTTTTTTTTTTTTTTTTTTTTTTTGGGGGGGTTTTTTTTACTTCCCTTCCTTATTCAACGCATTCAGGCAATAGTCCGGATGTAGCTCTTGTTTAAAGATACAGTGGGGTCCAAAATCGGAGATATATTGAAAATTGAAGTAAATGAAGAGATCTTCAATATGCTGCACTATTGAAGTCCGTAAGCAAATTAGTGACGTTGACCTTGTTTTAGTTTTTTTCCCCCTCTTGTCCAGATTGTCAGATTTTCTTTCATTGAAGCACAGGTTTTTGTTTGTTTGTTGTTGTTATTTTTTTTAATGTTTTTATGATTTTTTCCACCCTCTGTCTGATCCTTAAATGGCACAACAGCAAAAAGGACTTGTTTACTTCTAAGACATTTATGTAAATGGCCTTTTTGCATGTGAAATTGCGCATCGCTGGTTTCATCTCCAAGGAGTTTTGAACTGATCCAACCCTTGATTTCAGACTCTATTTTACAAGGCATTTTAGCAGTTAAAGTAAAGAGAAGCTTTTTGTTTTCTTTTTGTTTTTGTTTTTTTTTTTTAAACTGGATGAATACTACAAGATAAAAAATGTGCAGTTTGTCAGCTTTTGCAAATCTCTTGGGTGTGTGTGACCTCTTGCTGTGCACCCTAACCCTGCTATGTGCTAATCCACAGTCAGTCTTTACTCACTCTTTACTCTCTGTGTGTGCGTGTTTGTTTTTAGGGAGGACAACCTCAGGAAGCTTCTTGTGGCTTGTCGATTTCTTTTCAAAGTGAGTTTTGCTCTTTTCCAGTTGATTCTTTCTATACCTATCAGTGTCCAATGCATGTCCAGTGTGGTTATACAAGTTATTTAATGGCTGATTCATTAAATTGGAAGTAATTTTCAACAAATCTTTACCATGATACAAATAATAATAATAAAAAAAAAAGTTGCATTGAATGCTCAGACTTCACTATAAATACAATAAAAGTAGATTCACAATCTGTAGGATCACTTGTATCATTGTTTTATATTGGACAGCCCAAAAACGTGCTCTATGGCAAGGCATTATTGATATAACCGTACAACTTTCTGAAAGCTGCTTTAAAACGATGCGTGTACTTAAATGTGCCATTCAAATAAATTTGACTTCATTAAATCAACAGTCCTTAAACTTAATTGGTTAATTTCATAATTGGAGCATTGCTAGTGCGTTAAAGTATGACGACAAACAATTTAACCTGTCCTTGTTCTCTCTTCCAGGTGTCTCCCTATGCTTTCGAAAGTCCTATTTCTTGTACCTTTCCTTCTGTTTCTTGGTGAGCTTGCTGTTCACGATTGACTATAGGTCTAAATGGAAATAAGATCCTTCATCGTCATTTTTTCACGTTTTTTTTTCCTGTGCTGTTTCTAATAGCTCTGTGCTACTGGGGGCCGTCTGGACTGTTAGCCGTGCTGCCTTCTGCTAATGTGATGGTGTGGAAGGACGCCTCCTACGTCACCCCTTCAACCACCTCCATGCGTGACTCAGAGGAGGGACAATCCCCCCCTGACACAAACACTCAGGTAGTATTTACATTTCAGGATATTACTACTTTATTGTAGCCTACTAAATTAACTAACTTTCTATCAATGCAAAAATATTAAGTTGACTTTCTGATACTATGTCTCCCTCCTCCCAGAGGCCCTCAGTTCTGTCGTCGTCATCAGTAGAGGCAGAGAGGTTGATGCGTTTAGAGGACAACTTGTCTCAGCTGTGGGATCGAGTAACGGGGGGTTTGCTCAGGCAGGAGGAGCAGCACACGGAAGTGCTCAGTCTGTATAACACAATGCGCTCCGAGCTTCACAGTCACACAGACAGAGAGAGTCTGGGCCAGTGGATTGGAGACCTGCTGGAGGAGAGATTCAGAATACTGAAAGGCGAGGTGCAGAAAGAGGCCAAGGACACGCAACAGGTGATGATATCACATTGTCTGTTTTGTTTATTACTAGAGTTTTAATAACCACCCTTTTAAATGCGCACTGAGCATCAGTAAATGCTCATTTCAAAATTGACAATGACGTGGACAACTTTTAACCTATTAGAAAAGCTCAGGCAGATATGCTGTATGAATCGAAATAAACATGAGTCACTGAGAGAAATTGTGATTAACATTTAAAATATGGATTCATGAATATTGGGGGCTCAGGTTGTTTTATATAGTTCCCAGGTTAGCAGCATCTGTTGACATGTTTATTATCAGTAATATATTATGTAATATCTTTATAACTAATCTTCAATTCTCTGTCTGCAGCATCAGGAAAAGCATGCAGAAGAGCATCAGTCAGAGAATACTCGACTCGCTGAAGCTGAGGCTCTCCTTCAGACATTAGCATGCAAAACTGAGGTGCGACACTCAAATTGTACAATGAACACACAAGATGCATTATTATCAGCATGCAGGATTTTGTTTTTGTATTGAAAAACCACTGATGCGAGTTAACTTTGGGCCAAAGTTCACTTGCTTTTTTGAATGTTATGACTTCAGTAATCAAATAAGTAATTTGAGCACGTTCTGCTGTCTGACTGACTTTTTTAATTTAGGATTTGCAAAGAAGACAAGAGCCTGCTTTTAAAAAGTTTCCTGAGGCTGAGGTGCCCGCCCCTGATCCACACAGGTCATTATTGTTTAATCTGGTTTAAAGGGTCAACAGTGATGTCTCATTCATTAAAGTAATATTCCTGGTACTTCATGTAAACTGATGTTATAATTTGTCTGATCTCTTCAGTGAGGAGGCTGAGAGCAGCTCCAGTGAGGATTTGCTGGCAGAGGTGAGGCGGCTAGAGGAGACTTTGGAGCGAATCAGAGATGATGTGCAGGGACTGATGGGATGCAGAGACAAGTGTGAGCAGCTGGACTCCCTTTCAATCTCAGTACGTGCTCTGTTGCCATCTCCGTTCATCATCTGTAGTGGTTGAAGGGTCTAGTTTTCATACCTGACATTTTAACACCCTTATTTAGCCCTTTGCAGCCACATATAAAAGTGGATAATATAAGATGACAACTAAACAGGACTTGAATATACCAAAAGGCCGATTTTTTTTTTTTTTTTCCCCCCATCTGTTTGAACAAAATCTCGTAACTGCTGGATCTGCTCTTCACAGGTATCCGAGCAGGTGGAGAAGGAAATCCGGTCTCTGTTTTATGGCAGTGACCGAGCGGAAGAGCTGGAGCTTCCTAAATCTCTCCTGGCGAATCAGAGATGATGTGCAGGGACTGATGGGATGCAGAGACAAGTGTGAGCAGCTGGACTCCCTTTCAATCTCAGTACGTGCTCTGTTGCCATCTCCGTTCATCATCTGTAGTGGTTGCAGGGTCTAGTTTTCATACCTGACATTTTAACACCCTTATTTAGCCCTTTGCAGCCACATATAAAAGTGGATAATATAAGATGACAACTAAACAGGACTTGAATATACCAAAAGCCCGATTTTTTTCCCCATCTGTTTGAACAAAATCTCGTAACTGCTGGATCTGCTCTTCACAGGTATCCGAGCAGGTGGAGAAGGAAATCCGGTCTCTGTTTTATGGCAGTGACCGAGCGGAAGAGCTGGAGCTTCCTAAATCTCTCCTGCAGTGGCTCTCTGATCACTTTGTGAGCACCATTGAAATGCAGGCTTCGCTCAGTACTCTGGAGAACAGCATTCTGGGTAACCTGTCCCTTCAGGTAGAGGAGGGCCAGTCACCTTCTAAAGAGACGATCACCCAAACTGTACGACAAGCCACAGGGGAGGCAGGCCTCTCCGAGGAAGTAAGCTATTGAGAACTTGTCTTGGAGTATTTTAAGAAATGAATAACTCTTTGTATAGATATGTAATGCTACTTTTGTGTTTTTTGTCTCCACAGCATGTACAGTTGATTGTCAACAATGCGATGAAGCTCTATTCAGAAGACCGCACCGGTCTGGTGGACTATGCATTGGAATCTGGAGGTATAGTAATGGTCTCATCTCTGTGGCTGTATTTTAAGTTATAAGAGACGATCACCCAAACTGTACGACAAGCCACAGGGGAGGCGGGCCTCTCTGAGGAAGTAAGCTTTTTAGAACTTTTGAGTATTATAAGAAATTAATAACTCTGTATAGTCAGATATATGTAATGCTACTTTTGTGTTTTGTTTCTCCACAGCATGTACAGTTGATTGTCAACAATGCGATGAAGCTTTATTCTGAAGACCGCACTGGTCTGGTGGACTATGCATTGGAATCTGGAGGTATAGTAATGGTCTCATCTCTGTGGCTGTATTTTAAGTTATTTTTTAAAATTGTTTGTTTAGCTGTAGGAACATAAAACACAGAATTAAGGATTGCAGGCATTCCATGTAGCAGTATGGGAAAGAAAATAGGTATTCCATTCGTTGTTCTTAACAACGTGTGAAGTGTATATTAAACCTTACAAGATTGTCAAGATTTCCCAAACTGGTGTTTGTCAAAGCTGGGGGGTTTGTGAGTTTAATGAAAAGCTAATGATCAATTAAATCATAAAAATCTGGAATTAAATCGTTTTAAAATAACAGCAATCAAAAAGAGATGAGAAATTTTTGAATTTACCTGCATGTCATGCGAGCGTTAGCCAATGTCCGAGAACTGTTACTTAATTACTAACTTGTTAGCTTAAAATCTCAAGGTGGACTAAGTCAATATAAGCAGTTTGGCTGAAAAACAAGTTTGGGAATCCCTGCTTTACATGTAAATAAAAATAACATGAATTTGTGCATTTTAATGTGTTTGAAAGACAAAAACCTTCCAAAGACTGTAATACAGTGATTATTCAAATAAAAATGAATGTTTGTTTATTAGTAGTAGATGCAGTATTGAAATGCTGAGAAAATCCTTCTTGGAATTGATTGAATTGAAATGATTTTTGTAAATCCAGTGGTCAAATGCTGTGTGGCCTCTCAATTTTCAGGGCAAATGACTGGTCTTTGTGTGAATCTCCACAAAACTGGGATACTTTCTGAATGTGTATATATGCTGTAGGCAGTAGGCTATTTTAGAAAGTACTTAATTTTTTTTATCTGATTATGTAATACAGATTAATCCGGTACTACCATCACTGTGTGTGGACATTAGATGAGTCCCACAAAAACCTACTGTGTATTGTCATCAAGCAGATTAAATTTAGGAGGGTAGATGTAGTCCAAAATTGGGGCCTTTTTTCTCTGTCTCTGTCTCTGTCTTTCTCTTTCTCTCTCTCTCTCTCTCTCTCTCTTTCTTTCTCACTCTCGATGCTGCAATTTTCACCTGTGAAACTTTTTGGAAACTACGGTGATCAAACTATTGTTATGATCCGTGTACTTGTTTAGCTATGCTTGTGAAGGCCAAATGTCCTCACTTATGACGAGGGACAAGGGAGGGCATTTTTCGTGTCATCTCTAGTTTAAAAGGCTCATAAATCAACTAAATGTTTTTATTTAAATCCAGTGTTTGGCACAGTTTTCTGTGAGGGTTTTTTTTATTTTATTTTACTTGTCTGAATGTTGTCTGCTTTGCTACAATAGCTGATTGATTGAAATGGTTTTTCATCTTATTGGGAGGAAAACACATGTCTGAAAATATCAAGATGGTAGTACCGAATCACCCAATACTATATAATTATGAATAGCAGTCTTGCATATATTTATGCTGTTTGATATCTGCAGTGAATTTCTTTGTGTCTGTAGGAGGCAACATCATAAGCACACGCTGTTCAGAGTCCTTTGACACCAAAACAGCACTGCTGAGTCTGTTTGGCTTCCCGCTGTGGTACTTCTCCCAGTCACCACGTGTAGTCATACAGGTTTCATACCTTTCAGAATTCTGATTTCTATTCATGTGCATTTATTTGGAAAGTCAAGCATGATTTTCAAGGTAATTTCTCTCCTTTCTTAATCTCTTCATTCATTTGTCCCTGCAGCCAGACGTGCATCCTGGGAACTGCTGGGCATTTAAAGGATCACAAGGTTATCTGGTGATCGGGTTATCCATGAAGATTGTGCCTACAGCCTTTTCTCTAGATCATGCGCCCAAATCCCTGTCGCCCACTGGCAACATCAGCAGCGCCCCACGAGAGTTCAATGTATATGTGAGTACACATGAAATTAAAATCAATTCATATCAGGGTTTCCCCATCTCGACTAATGAATATATTATAAAGAAAAAGTATAATAATTTTTATAAATATTGTAGATCAGCGTTTTCAGCAACAGTTTACTCCTGGTTTCAGTGTCTCATGATCCTTGAGAAATCATTCTAGTTATACATCCCATTCAATGCATCCTTGCTGAATAAAAGTAGTAGTTTTTTTTTTTTAATCTTATACTTTTTTTTGCAAAATAATAACCATTCTCAACATTGATAATAAGAAATGTTTCTTTGGCACCAAATCTGCATATTACAATGATTTCTGAAGGATCATGTGACACTGGAGTTAAGATGCTGAAAATTCAGATTTGTTATCAAAGGAATAAATTCCGTTTTAAAATATTAACATTAAATTGGATTATTGTATTTATTTTACTGTATTTGATTAAAAAAATATAGCCTTGGTGAGCATAAGAGACTTCTTTCAAAAACAATCTTAATTCTATCAAACTTTGGCAGGAGCTGTATATCCACTGAAGAAGTTTCCCATCAGTTTTAAGCTTTTCCTTCCTTTTCATATTCGAAATCGGAACATTCAGATCACATTCAGTATTTTATTAATATTCATTATTTTCCAAACCTAGATGCCTCAATTTAAAAAAAGTCCTGATATTTCCAGGTTTTCTAATATGTTGAAAGTTTAAGGTTGACATCTCTTAACTTGGGGTCAATTAAAAAAAAAGTCCCTCTCCTCTCTGTTTTATTAAAGGGTCTTGATGATGAGCAGCAGGAAGAGGGGCAGTTACTCGGACAGTTTGTTTATAATGAAGATGGAGATGCTCTTCAGACCTTCTTAGTGTCTGTAAGTATCACACAAACACATGTTTTTCTGTGTATTGAGATCTGTTTCATTCATTAAACCACACTTTAGCTGCATAAAACAAATTTAACTGATTGACTGATGGCTTCTTGTAACTTTATGTTGCTAGCAAAATTAATAAAAATTAAAAAAGTTAATACAGCGAAATAATATTTGAAAAGGAGATTGTCAATGTGGAAGGTGTAGTTGCGTCATCTACCAGCAGTAGATAACGGGGTCATGCTAACTAGAAAAACCTTATTTGTTTGTAATCTTTAATCGATTGCCTAATCTTGTAATTCTGTGTCTGTTTTCCCCAAGGAGGAGGTCTCGAGAAGTTTTCAGATCATTGAGATGAGAGTGCTGTCAAACTGGGGTCATCCTGAATACACCTGTGTGTACCGTTTCCGGGTTCACGGGAAGCTTGTTGATGAATGACTTGCAAGCGCTTAAGATATTGTAACCTCCTGACGATCTGTCACTCATGCACAGAGAGAAAAGAGAAAAAAAAGGAATTGAGCTCTTGAGAAATAATGTGCCATGAGTTACACAGTTGGGGCTGAGATGACCTGAGGACATCTGATAAAGGATTGCATGCTGGTACATGTACTGTTAGGCCTCGGGGCCAGATTCAGCACTTGCACTCTTCTGAAACATCACACTGTTTCCGCTATTGTCAGTCATCAGGGTAATGCTTATCTTTGTTGATGTTTATTATTATACCACCCTATCTGGCAGAATTGTCACCAGCAAAAAATGCATTGAAAAATTGCTGAACAATTAGCAAACCAGTGAAGAATGTATTTTAGACTAAATGTAAATGTTGTTAAGTTCTTCAGTTTTGTGCTTGTTTTTCTTTGTTTTTGCTAGCTGATATGTGCCATATTTAAGAATGGCTAGAGAAAAATCGCTATTTATTTTTGTGTATTTAAGTTGATATAAGTGAGATTGGATTGTGTATTTTTGTAAATGCTTTTCATGATCTTTGTGCAGAGGATTTCGTAATTGCCATGTAAACTTCATAGGTTGGCTTTTCAAATAAAATTCAAATTTTTTATTATTTTAAAAAAAGGATTGGATGCATTTATCATGGAGATTGTTTCCCAGAAATCGTTCCCCCAAAATAAGTTTAAATTGTTGTGTATTACACGAAAATGCAACACCATACAGCGGAAAAAATGCAATTATTTCACCATGTTAGGGATTTCGAATTAATTGCACACTTTTAACACCTTAACATTGACAGGCCTACTTTTTGGCGATGTAAAATTAGCATCCGCTACACCAAATTGCCTATTTTTCAGTTGTTTTGGCTTCTGAATAAAATTAGTGGGTTTTTTTTGGTTTTTTTCCTCCAGAAGAGTGGGCCCCATATTCTTACTTGCCTATATGAGCCATAAAAGCCTGATGAATCAAATATGATGCGATACAAACCATATATAGGCTATACAAACTTTTTTTATTTATTGAATGAATGCTCAAACTCCCTTTTTTTTATATATATTTTTCCGTTTTAATTCCCATTTAAAATATGAAATATCTGATAGTCAGCAAGACATGAAAGTTTTCTTCATTTGAAATCCCAATCATAAACTGACTGCTGCATGGTTTAGCGATGTAGATCCGCTCCAGTCCTTCAGGAGGCAGCAGAGAGAGTGTTTATTGCTTGGGACGGGACGGTATATGGGTGTGTGTGTGTGCAGACCGGGATCTGAGATTTTTGGGTGGTGGCTGGCTGTCTGTTTTACTGGAACTGCAGCAGCAAATACGCTGGAATGCGGTTGTCCAGCTAAATTAACCCCGTCAAGTTTGAGTGAAATCTCGCGTTTCCTTTCAACTTTTATCGTCTCCGCTCTTCTTTTGTGCGTGTTGAATTTTGAGGGCGGGTTATCCCGGTCCGAGCAGCTTTTATCGATTCATTCACCGAGTAATATCGAGCTAAAGGGATAGCGTGCTAAGTGAACACAGATGCAGGCCATAAAGTGTGTGGTTGTCGGGGACGGGTAAGTTGACCCTCATTTTCAGTATTGTAATAGTCGTGGGATAAAGTTTTCCACGTCTCGGACGTTTAAGTTTGCTCTGTAACGTTAGTGTTTTGAGTTTACATAACTTGTGAGCCTTCATTTTGGGAACTTTTATGCGGTCTTTGTAGCTCGCAGATGTTTATTTCACACGTATCACTCATTAAATCTGTGTTTTCCACTTTTAGTGGCAGCGAAAATAGCTTATGAACAGTGTTGGAGGTAACGCATTACAAGTTACGTAATCGGATTACTTTTTTAAAGTAACTAGTAAAGTAACGCATTACTTTTTAATTTACAAGAGAATATCGGAGTTACTTTTTCAAATAAGTAACGCAAGTTACTTTTTTTTTCTAATTTATTGATTGACAGCTCTCCTGTCCCCATGTTGAGAGAGATCAGATGTTACTGTAGATCTCAAATAAATATGAATATGCATTAATTCATCTCGCTAACAAAAAAGCAACACCGATTCAGTATTCCTCAAAATGAATACAAAGAATGCAACTGTGTTTGTGTTATATAAGACATGGCCAGTTCTGTCACTGGATGTATTATATGAATGATTTTAGTTTTTTTTGTTTTTTTCTCCAGTGCTGTGGGAAAAACATGCCTTCTGATCAGCTACACCACCAATGCTTTTCCCGGGGAGTACATCCCTACTGTGTAAGCAGACCTTACTCTGACCCTGAGTTTCTTAAAGGGACAGTTCAGCCAAAGATTTATTTATTTTTACGCATACAATCACAATTTGTGATTTTTTTAAAAATTAAAATATCCAAAAACCACTAGAACAGTGTTATATATTTTGCTAAATGTTTCGAAGAATATTTAAATCCAGAGAAATAAGCACTTTTAACTTGTGACACGGACCGTGTCTATAGTGTCATTGTGTCGCCTGCCAGTAACGTCATAACCCCTCGATTTAATATGTTGTGCGTTTTATTAGACCGGTGACGACTGCACAGAGTAGCATTATAACAGAACTTTCAAATGTATCTAGTATGATAAAACAGCGCTGCTTTTTCCCCCCACATACGCACGACCGGAAGGAGCGGAGGCGGTCGACTGTGGCATAATAAAAGCTCCGCTGCTTTCGAGCCGTGTGTCGCGCTCGTTTAGCTTCGACTGCTTTCAGCCTCACCCTGCTTCATTCTACTACATTAATAAATCATTAGCTCATCCATGAACATGATTTCTGCCCGAGTCCCGTCGGATTGCATCGGCTGTGGGGATGAAGACGACAACTCCCATGATTCCACACTCAGTCACGGCATCATCAAACTACGCCTTTGTTTATTTTGAATACGCGCCCTCTAGCGGCAAAAATTACATATTGTGCCTTTAAGGAAACTTTTGTCTTGTCTCCCGAGGCCACAGGAGGGCGCAATGAGCAAAATAATGCAGCGTATTTAAATTGTCAACACAAGGAAGTAACTTTAAACAGCATCATGTATGCATTGCTTAATCCGAAGAGCCGAAGCGCCATTCACACAGATTGCATTTAAAAACATGCAGTGAAAAGGAATAAACCTTCACAAATTCGTGACGTGTTTTCTAAAAGTTTAAACCGTTTTAACTTTGCATGGCTACATCTCTTGTGTGACGCATGTGCAGCAGTCATATTTGTCCGTCTAAAAAATGCGCTGAATATGTGTTCTGTGTGAATGGCTTGATTTCGGTTTTAACCTAATCAAGAACTTCTCCGCATTGAGCTTCTATATTTCTCTAATATTTTGATTGAGTAACGCAGCAGCGGCGCGTCTCGTGGGCTAGACTAACAAAACATTAAAATGCAACAACGTCACCTACATCATCATCACTGCATCTCGTGCTCCACTGATGACGCTCCCTGACGCACACCTAACATTCAAATGCAAATGTTTATTTTAAATTCGACTAATATTCATTCTTTATTCACAATCTTCTCATCACAGGCAGGCACAGCACTCATTTCAACATGTGTTTGTGTGTGCTGTCTGCATTACTCGTAGGACGTGCCTATATCGTGCGCTATATCGAACATTTTTTTCTATCGTTATCTAGGCTTGCCGCGATAGATGGTGCTGACGGTGATACCGGTTTTAAGCCGCAACACTGGTTGCGTCACTTGCCCACCGCTAGCAAGCGGCTAACCTTTTAGTGGCTCCGTATAACGTGTTATTTTTTTCACGCTTCGGGCACACCCCTAACCCCGCCCTGCCCCCCGATGTCATCGTCCATCACGATGTTTCACTGTAGACATCGTCCGATGCCAATTTGGTAGACATCGCCCAAACCAAGGCCTGGGCGATAAAACGGTATCGATATTCATCGATGGTACACCTTCTTCGATAACGATAGGGTTGTGACGGTGAGGAAATTTTCCCACCGGTTAATCAACGTGTGACAACACCGGTAATACCGTGGGGGCGTTCCCTCTTTTCCTCGCTTTCCTTCGCTTTTAAATAGCTTGTAAAAGCGGCATGAGCATTTTACTTTCACTTTCAAATAGCGGCAATTCAGAGTAAAGCAATTGTTTGTTTTTAGTTCGGTTGAATTTTACCTCTTTTCCTCGCTTTCCTTCGCATTTAAATAGCTTAAAAGTGCTGTGCGCATTTTACTTTCGAATTAGCAGCAGTTCGGCATCAATTGCTTGAATGCAACAACAAAATACAACGTCAAACTCACTTCAGCGTATATATAAAACATAGAACTTTTAACAAAACAAATAAAAATACACCATGCTATAGGGCAGGCTATGCCTAATATAAAATAACAAATAACTTACATAAAGTTTAAATAGGTATACAAAACTGGAAATAAGTAAACATGTATAATATATAACCAAATAAATAAGAAACGTAGAACTTTTATTAGAAAAAAAAAAAAAAGAGTAAGAAAGCTTGGAGGCACGGCCTACACCTTGATGTCAAATAAAATAAATAAATTTTAATTAATTAATTATTGTTGTTTTGACTTTCATTAAAGAGTTTCCCATACATTGATTTATTTGTGGCGGCCCGCCACAATATCAACACTGACCGCCACAAATAGATTTTCCAATATGCTTTGACTTCATTGAATAAACATGAGCACTGCCCGTTTCAAAATCAAAATGCGGCACGGGTGTTTTTATATAAATGTATCTTTTTTGAAGGGAACCGATTGTCTTCAGAAACGTTTGAGAGCAGCACTGTTTTGATTACAGCCGTTACCAGGGAAACCGCTGTTTCTACCACTCTTAAAGCGCCTCCTGCTGGCAGAGAATGAATTTGCACTTTCAATAAGCTCGTCAGCTGTTTTATATTTGCGTTATATACATATATATTTCCCCCAGGGGAAGTGCCGCCACACATAGAGTGTAAGTCTGTAGGAAACACTGCATTATATTGCAGAAGTAAACGTCATACAGGTTTGGAACAAGTTTTTATTCATGAGTGAACTGTCCCTTTAAACTCAACATGACATCAAAACTGATACCATTTACTTTAAAAACCATCATTGCTGGTCTTGTTGTGCCAGTTTCATCTGTGCATATTATTCCAAGTAAAAAAAAAACTCTTAAATAATTCTTCAGAATGTAATAAATAGCTTCACCTCCTGTTTTCACCTGCTTCATGTATCCCTTCTTTTCCTTTCCTTTCATCTACCTGACTCCATTAAGGTAGTCATTTCCCAATGGATAAAATTCATTTTTTCCCCATTGAATAACCTGTTTAACTCATTTAAATTATGAGTAATATCTCATTTTGAAGTTGCATTTCACATTAATTTTAATGTTCACCATATACCTGATCTGCATCCCTGAATCTTTTATTTAGGTTTGATAATTATTCTGCTAATGTGATGGTCGATGGAAAGCCGGTGAACCTGGGACTGTGGGATACAGCAGGGCAGGAGGATTACGACAGGCTTCGACCGCTTTCCTACCCTCAGACGGTACAATCATAATATTAGGGCTAAAACTGATTTATCTCTTTCTCTCTCTCTCTCTCTCTCTCTCTCTCTCTCTCTCTCTCTCTCTCTCTCTCTCATACATATATAATTTGATGTTTATTTGAGGTTTTATCAGTGGAGCCATTATTTAGATCATTTTTCTTTCAAGAAAATGCCATATGGATCATATTTGAGAGAGTTTTGGCTCTGCATTAATGAGTCATGAGACCATCGAGGATCTTGAAAGTAGTTTGATGAATTACTGTTTTGGAAACATAATAAACACGATGCCTTAACACAGTAAAATGATAAAAAAAATTGCCCATGTCCTGATGCCTGGTAGGCTAAAGTGATTTCTTATATGTTGCTCAGAGCATGAATGGCAGCTCTGTTGTCTGTCTTGCTAAGGCTGTGAGAGTGAATGGCTCAATTGTTAGCCATTGTCGTTCAGGCACAAACCTCACTGTGTTGTTGTTGCTCTGTTTCAATTGGAAAAACAAGTGGAGTTAATTTACAGTTCATTAATGCAACAGTCTAGTCAATGCTGTGCTTTACAGATAGTCAACTAATATTTAGAGAAAAGTGTTGAAAGTTAGCATGAAGTGAGGGTTTTGTCTGATTTGTTGTTTTTGTTGTTTTTTGTCTTAGGATGTGTTCTTGATCTGTTTCTCTCTTGTGAGTCCAGCCTCGTTTGAGAACGTCCGTGCAAAGGTAAGCAAAGCACTCAGATATTTTGTGGTTTAAGTCAATTTAGGCGACTTTCGAAATTAGCACAGTGAATGGAAAAGAGGAAGAGGCTGTAAGAATAGTCTGTCTGGCTTGACTGATTGAGCAGATGTGGTTACAAAGCCTTAAAATGGCATGTTGATGCTGCTGTAATGAAGCAGACAGAAGGTCTTTTTAAACTTCTGTCTGCAAAATGTCCAGTGATGTCCAATTTAAAGGATCAAGTATTATTTGCCATTAGTTACTGCTGGGAACGGGAGGTTGTGGTGTTTATCCACAGGTAAAATATATGTTAGGATTGGAAATGGCACAGTAACATGTTATTAGTATTTGAGTATAGAGTATGTATACTGTGCACAGTGTGCCAGTTTTCACTATGCATAGAATGACTTTGCATTCAATGGAAGCTCAACATTTCTGTTTTGGTTTCTTTAACAGTGGTATCCAGAGGTCAGACATCATTGTCCCAACACTCCGATAATCCTCGTTGGGACTAAGCTTGACCTGAGAGACGACAAGGACACTATTGAAAAGTTGAAAGAGAAGAAACTCACACCCATCACCTACCCTCAAGGCCTCGCTATGGCCAAAGAAATAGGTCAGCACTTCAGTTTTAATACACTGGCGTTTAAATGCATTTTATTATTGCCTTTACACATATGTGTGTATGTTAGGGATGGGTTGAGAGTATCAAATTTAATCTATCTTCATTTTAAAGGTGGGGTAAGCGATTTTTCAAAAACACTTTAGAAAACGGATTCGGGCCGAATAGCAAAACAAACTTGTAGCCAATCAGCAGTAAGGGGCATGTCTACTCATGATGTGGAGGAGAGAGAGTTCAGTGCACACTGCACAGGAGAGACATTAGCCGAGCCGAGCGACAGAAAGATAGAGATGGTGAATAGAAAACAAAAGAAGGCATAAGGCAAGAAGTAGGACCTGTGTAAATATTGAATCAGCTTTCCAGCGCTGGAGAGAACTCAAGGAGCGGAAGGCCTGCGATCGGACGCTGAGGTTGCTTTGTTTCTTCTCGATAGGTGAGTAACACCGTGTGTGCGCCGCAACAGCTAAAGTCTGTCTAGTACACTGGATGCGACAAAGCGACCGTTGAAAATTTGTGCAGTTTTTTGTTGGGGATTTGTCGTGTTGTGCCGCGCCGCATCCAGTGTAGACCATAGATATGTATATATATCTATGGTGTAGACAGCATCACTGATTATGAGTTCTATAGTATTTTGTTGCGCCACTCGCGTCCGGTGTAGACACGGTGTAACATTGGTTTTGCTTTGTTTCACAGAACTAATCGTTGCCTGGGTTGCGTATGTATGTGTGGGGCGGAGCTATCAAAATAGGGGCGAGACCCTTTTGGGGTAGGGACGTGTTTGTTTTGGTGATTTCAAATGTCAACACTGGCTACCAGAAATCGCTTACCCTGCCTTTAATAAACAGAACAAAATTTCTTAAAGGGTCAGTTCACCCAAAAATGAAAATTACCCCATGGTTTACTCACCCTCAAGCCATCCTAGGTGTATATGAAATCTTCAAATGTGTGGCCAGCCTAAGTTTACCAGCCTTTTTAAAGGGTGGATCCACTTTAAGTACTCTTGTATTCACTACAGGAGCTGTGAAGTACCTGGAATGCTCAGCCTTAACGCAGCGCGGCCTTAAGACGGTGTTCGATGAAGCCATCCGTGCGGTCCTGTGTCCACCTCCGGTCAAGAAAGGAAAGAGGAGGTGTTTTGTCCTCTGAACTGACTGTACTCACAGCACCAGCTGCAATCTGAGCTCACCTGAGAGGAGAACAATGGAGGCGGGGATGATGGGAAATGTGTGTTGGAGAAGAAGAAAGATTCTGCACAGTGTATGCATTCAGATATTTCTCCCTCTTGCATTGTAATTAGAATTACGCCACTAACTAGCTGTTAAGATGCCAGATTATTTGCTTCCGAGAGATAGGGAGCGGTGTCCATAGTTGTTTTCCTTCCCTACACTAAGAAATTCCTGCTGCCTTCTAATGATCTTATTTTCCCCTCATTTTGATGAACTAAATACTCCTTTCAGTGTATTTCTCCATCTTCGTGAGCCCATATATTTTGTTTACAATCTGCGTTTTTGTAGAAAATTGCCAAAATGTAAAGCCTACAAGTTGTCTATTTCAATTTGCTCACACTAACAATCTCATTTTTTCCTAAAGGTTTGGGGGTGTTAATCATGTGTACTTGTAAGAGACAGAGATTGCTCTAATATTGAAGGAACTATTTTACAAGAGGACAGCTGAAAACACTTTATTTTTTTGGTTCGTGTGTTACGGTTTCCATGCTAGAGAGTTTATTTTGTTGAACTGTATATGAAACAGACCTAGTTAAAATGCATATAACAGCTTTGTTTTGTCAGCATATAGCATATTTTCACTACTGTTTCTAAATATTCAGAAGAGCAGATCTCTAGTTTAATCTCTCTCTCTGTATTTTAATCAGTCTGTCGGAAGAGCCTGGCAGTTTGATCTATTTTACAGTCCCAGTATTGTATTTAGACTACAGATCTACCAGTGCCTAGTAGCAGACTAGGGTTTTGTCAGAAATCGGAGTATGTTGGAAGTTTCTGTACTCTAGACACCTCAGCACTATGGCATGGGGTTCGTCGTCTTTAAAGATTCCCATGAACACTGTGCTAAATGTAGTGGATTCTTGAATTCAATAAATATGAACTGTTTGTTGTTAGGGTACAGACATAAAGTATTAAGCTTTTAATTGGTCTTCAGACATGGTTCGAGAGGAAATGATTCTAATTTGCCAAAATTAATGGTTCTTTAATTTTGTCATTTTGACGGTTCTGTAACGTTTTAAAACATTTCAAATGCTTTATTCATGCCTTTATTGTCTCCACTAAAGCTACATGTATTAACCTTTATGTCTGAAAATAGAAACCAAATATAAAAACATTTGTCTTTGTCCTTTTGTTTTCATGTATGCTTATTAGTTTCTTCACATAACACTGGAATGTGACCAGGCACAATGCGACAAATATGTCTATATATATATATATATATATATATATGTGCTGCAGAGTTGATGTGTTTTTGTTGACCAACCCGGAAGTTAATATCAGCCTGGTTCGCTCAACCATAATCCAGTAGGTTTTTTTCCATTGGTTTTTGGATTATTGCAGAAAATAAGTGATATGACCAATAAAAGTTTATGGTTCTTCCATGTTTTGTTCATCATAATCTTCACAAACGAACACAGCTTTATGAATTTTAAAGGCTAGATACAATTGCCAGAAGTAAAATGCTACATATATCAAATGAAACCGCAATCACAAGACCATCATTAAGCTTCCAATGATTTTCAATCTTTATTTAAAGAAATTTCTTTAAAAGTTTGAATTTAAATAGTTTGGTGTGATGTTTAATGTCCCCAACAACCTCTTTTTAAAGAGGTAAAAGCTTTAAAAAAAAATCACAAAGGTGTATTACTGATGTATTATGCCATAGAATAAAATGCGAAATATCTTGAGCTTGTGTTAACCATTTAACAAAAAAAAAAAAACATTCAAAATGAACCCATCAACTTAAGGGCGATTGAACCAGAAGTGCTAAAATGCTATATCGTTTTCGGGTGTTGGCCAACAAAAATGTCATCCCTGCAGCACTCTATTATTGATGCTACAAAATGTGTAAAAAAAAAAAAAAAGTGATAATTGCAATTAGTGTGGCTATTTTTTGCAGACCAAAAGTAATTTACCGATTAATCTTTACAAGTGTGAGAGCAGTTTGCTCTCATAATCAATGATCAGGATAAAGATGCCGCCCTCATGGCAGACAAGACAATTGTGCAATGAGTGGAGGAAGCTGTGCTGTTTGGTTCTTCAGTGTTTGCTGTTCCAAGTTTTGCTGAGACGGCATCTTGTATCCCCATTCCTGCATTTAAAAATAATGCAAAATATCCAACTAGTCATAACAAATAGCTTTGTTTCAACTAACATTGACAAATTTGACAAATGCATCATTCCAGGACTAATTAGTGCTTTCTAAGAAACGTCAGGAAATAATAACAGACAGCTTCCTATGAATAAACTCTGACATGACATTCCCAAATTTGAATTAGAACTGGCTGAAGATCAGCAGGGGTTGCTTAAGCTTGCATAAAACTTATGCATAGAAATACTTCCTTTTTGTCTCTTGAGAGGACTGAAATGCAAGCATCAAGATTTTTAAGGCACTGCTACTACTTTCTATCAGTGGTGAGAATGCATTTGTTTATTTCAGTACATCTTGTTCTTCATTTTTTTTTTAGATTGCAGCTGTGGAAAAACAAGTTACCCAGTGACTTGAATACCGTAGTCTTCTCACGCTGAGCAGGAAAAGATCCATTTATAACTTCTCCGAGCTCTGAGAAAACTTCAGCCTGGGCAAATAATGAGCATGTAAAATATTTAGGAATTTGGATGTATTATATGTATGACTGAGCCAAATGTATTGATGGAAAGTAGTGCATACTCCAGACAGAATGATGTCTCCTGACTCTGCCGTCGCCCCTTCTCTGCTGTCCACGTACACCACAGCCTCTCTCATCAAAACATCATCCAGCTCCCTCCAGTCTGGCCGACAAGCGCCTACCGCTGTCACAAAATAGAGCACCACGATAGAAAAATACACAATGTAGTAACTATGATGTGGACTTGTTCAAGTTGGTCATGCATTGACCAACAGTAAGCAGCTTGGTTTGAAAGTGACTTCTGTGGAAGCTGTGCTTCGTTCATCGCTATGCTATTGACAATTATGGATCATTTTTGCCTAGAAAATATCTCTGAAGTGACGCTCACGTAACTGCATCATTTTTGTCATGACTATATTCTAAATATAACATGGCCTCTTGTACCTTATTGGTTAAATGCCTCATAAAATGTCTCTGTTGGAAATCTGTGGACCAGCTGACCTGCTATGTGTGCACCTGGTTTGACCCACTCGCCATAGAGTATCGGCTGACTTGCACTTGTGGCAGTCACTTACATCAGCTCCTGTCACCGCCTCTTTCACTGAAGAACAAACTGTTACAGGGCCTTGGAGATCATTAACAAACCGTTGAGCCATTTCTTTCCTTCTGCTCCACACACGGACCTGAAGTGCATACAACAACACTGGATTACACACACACACACACAAACAGTTTTCATACTGGTTTGAACTTGAAGAGTTTTGTAAAGACATCATAGTGGCTTCTAGCCTGTTGTCCTGAACCAAGGATGCACAACACCTCTGAAAGAGCTGGCTTGAACAGCTGGAGAATAAACATTTTCAGAATAAGTGACTTTATAAATATTACACCATTACAAATCTAGGGTCTGAGAAACCTACTTTAGCTGATATGGCTGATACTGCAGCGGTTCGTTTGGCTGTGATGGCCTCCCCATCCATGATCTGACATTAGAGATATAGTTACAGAACTAAAGGATTTCTAGAGGCATTTTTAACCTCTATATTTAAAAAATCAATTAAATAAAATTATACAAAATATTTTTGTACACCAAATCATATGGTGTGGGTGCCACACAATATTACAATTATATTTGTAAATAATAATAATAAATACAACCAAGCATATTTTTGAAATCAAGGGTTATGATATGTTATATATATAAAAAAAATCCTTAGATACTTGATTCATATTGGAGATGTATATATATATATATATATATATGTGACCCTGCCTGTGAAAACCCAGCTAAAGTCATTTTTTGTGATTTACTGTTTTCTACATAAAATCATCCTTTATCTGACATTAGAGATACAGTTACAGAACTAAAGGATTTCTAGAGGCATTTTAACCTCTATATTTAAAAAATAAATTAAATTAAATTATAAAAAATATTTTTGTACACCAAATCATATGGTGTGGGTGCCACACAATATTACAATTATATTTGTAAATAATAATAATAAATACAACCAAGCATATTTTTGAAATCAAGGGTTATGATATGTTATATATATAAAAAAAATTCCTTAGATACTTGATTCATATTGGAGATGTATATATATATATATATATATGTGACCCTGCCTGTGAAAACCCAGCTAAAGTCATTTTTTGTGATTTACTGTTTTCTACATAAAATCATCCTTTATAAAGATGTAAAGAACATTCTGTGAAAATAACCTGTTTATATATTTAATATTGACTGAGTAAGGCCATGTCAAAGGTTGAAATCATAGTGAAATTAATGGTTGAACTCAAACTTTGATACTTATCTCATAATTAGATTTTGAGACTTTAGCCTGGATTTCACAG